ACTTATTCCTATCAATCGTATCAAAGGTGTTACGGAAATCAATATAAGCTGCATAAAAACGATGTTTAGGCTTACGTAAATATTTTTGAGCAAGTGATAGCAAGACAAAGAAATTATCTACCTTTCTGAACCCAGCTTGAGATTTGGCTATCACTTCATTTAATTCTAACCGATATCCTAATCTAGGCTCAACTATTGATGTAAATGTTTTTCCCTTGATATTAATTAAAGATAGTCCTCTGTAATTGTATAGGTCACTCATATTTTCTTTTTTAATGTAGAAACATTCCCACATTCCAATCATCCGGGCATACACACTGATCCAAAATAGAATTAAACAGTAAGGGAGTATTTCATTAAAGTTTCGAAACAAATCAGGAGGCAAACCATCCATACCCGGAGATTTTCCAGACTTTAAAGAATTTACAGCTACTTTAATTTCTTCTTTTGTAATTTCCCCTGACAATAATTCAGTTTTTGCACTTAACACAAGTGATCTTTTAAACATTTCGCTACTCTTTGTTTATTAAATTCACAGTATTCAAACTTAGGATTTGATAACTTCTCAAAATATTTATACCAGCTGTTAGGGGAGATAGTGTTGTCACTTCATTTTTATTGAGTAATGAATTTATATTTCACCAAAATAATTTGCAATCACATAAAAGCATAATTTATCTTTTTACTTTCAAATCTATGAACTATTTTCTGCTTAGGTGCACATATTCTTCGGAAATCTCCTTTAGCCTGCAGATAATCATTCACGTTTTCAAAACTTTTATGGGTACGCAACTTGTTTTAAATCTGGTTGCACCTGACATTTGTGATCAAACCTTTCGGGTTGTGATTTAGACTTTGCTAATTTGGACATGCTAATTTTAGTCTATATATGAATAACACATTTATGAATAATCAGCCTCGATAATAATAATCATAATCATAATCATTCTGTACCTCAGGAATGGATTTTGAAGTCACTGGAATGTATTTCTAATGATATCGGCATGTCCTTTGGACTCGAAACATTTTTCAACTGAAACGTTGCAATTGTAGAAGAGGGAGGATCAGTCAGTTTACTTGGAGGAGGAGTTATTGACAATCTCGCGGAAGGTCACGCCTATACGTACAGTAAACTACGTCTATAACGAACACGCTTATAACGAACAGACCGATATAACGAACTTATTTTTCAGTCCCGGCCATGGGTTGTATATTTGCTGTATATATGCTGTATAACGAACTACGGTTATAACGAACTAAAATTAGTAGTCCCTTTGAGTTCGTTATAACCGTAGTTTACTGTACTTGGGAATGGAGGTTAGGGACAAACTCAAGAATGCCCATATCAAGGAGAAACTTCGGGCAGAGTACAAATGTAGACTTAAGAAAATTTGGTGTGCAGCGCTGAACGCTCGCAATAAAGTTGAAGCCATAAATACTTGTGCTGTACGCGTCTTTTCGTAGTCTTGTGTTGTTGATTGAACAAAACAAGAATTCAGGTATTGACATCGTCATAGGAAAGGTTATGTCAGACAGCAGTACCCACCGCTCTCTCTCTTCCCTCAGTAGCTAAAATTATCCAATCATAATGGAAGGCGTGGTTTGATAAACGTGGCGGCTTTTCATGATATAATTGTGTTGTGCACTTTTGCACAGATTTTCTTGTCTCATTATCCTCCTGTGAAGCATGTCAAGACTCGTGATAAAAACTAGGCAGTCCACAGTTTTCTTAAACGAGCCAAGTATATAGGATATAATCTTAATGTTAGTGTTGATTTTGTTTATGGTTCTTTACTGCTGGACCAAAAATATGTAGAGGGCGTCATGGAAAACCATAAATACAAAATTCTTTGGAAAAGGCCCTTATACAGCCTCAGACCTATTCAAACCACAAACCTGATTTTGTCGTTTTTGATGAATCCAATGAAATCATTTATATCATTGAATTTTCTGTCCCTTTTTACAATAATGTGATTGACAAGATTCAGGGAAAACTTGGCAAAAATGCGGACCTCGCTGTCGCCTCCACACTGGATGCCTTAGGTTTGGTACATCCCTATCTGTTGACAGACATTGGGAGAGTACACGAGTTTCCTGCCAGTAATACAGTCCTCCTGACAATGATATTTCCACACCACATAGGGGCATGCTCAAAGCGTTGATATTATCCCGGTCACTGGATCAGTGTGTACTCGATTTAATGCTCAGGTCCCCAGGGAGTAGGCAACCCAAGCTGTCTGTGAGACACTAGAAGGTTAACAGACACATTACCATCTCATCCTACCGGATACCCATTCACGGCTAGGTGAACAGAGGCATATTCAACAATGTCACTTCCCTAAGGAACACTTCCTTACTGTTTCAGTGTGAGGCAGGACCTAGAAACTCAAAGGAGTCAAGCGTTTACTCTCCGCGACTATCGTTGTTTAGCTTCACCTGATTTGTGACCAATATGCTGTACACAGGACCAAGTGCCACAACGTACATAATCTGCCAAAACAGATTTCACTGGGCGTAAAAGTCAAACGAGGGGTAAGCATGTTCTGCTCTACCGGCAGCATCCGCCAATCAAACAACTTGCAACCTAATTAGCTAAATAGCTAAACCCTGTGTTCGCAGAGAATATTTTACACGAAGGTGGGAATATATTACACTGGAGTGGAAATACTTTCCGATTTTTGCTTCTGTATATTTTGAGTTTTCATTTTTTTCTGTGATTTTCATTTCAAGGAACAATTTTGCGTGATTCATTTTTTGGTTTTCGAGAGGTTTTATCAATATTCAGTGTTTTCTTGTTCATTTCTTTGAGTTTTAATATACACAATTAATGGTTAAATGTGTAATTAAATTTGTAATACACCTCTAATGATGTGATAAAGCAAAGTGTAGACACGTGTAGAATTCCAACGAAAATGTGTAACACACGGAGACAGAAAAACACATTGACATTGCGAAAATATTTCAATGTCACTTTTGGCGCAATCCATGGCACTTCAATCATTATCGTCGTCAATACCAATGAGTTTTAGTCTAATTTCGTCATGGTATATATCTATATCCATATGAAAGTTTAAGTACAGCTATTGACACCCTCAGTGGTACTTATAAAATGTATGGATAACAAATTAATAATGATAAAACAAAAGCAATATGGATAGGCTCAACGACAAGCTGTAATATTAAATTATGTCAGGATCTGAAACTAGACTGGCACAGTGGGGACTTTGAAATATAGGGAATAAAGCTTAATTCTAACTTAAATAATCTGTAGGGTATCAACACAAAAAGAGATTTGAAATTATTAATCAAATTCTAGGGAATTGAAGGAAGATAAATCTAACATTGATCGATAAAATTACTGTTTTTAAAACCTTGGCCCTGTCAACATTAGTACATATATTTTCTTCTCTTCTAAAACCTCCAAGTGATTTACAGATTTATCTAGAACGATGAAAGGGTTAAAATAAAACAAACAACATTAATTAGAAAATATGATGAAGGTGGATTGAGAATGATAGAGGTAAGGTCTTTTATAAATTCTCTAAATCTGTCAGTTCTAAAAAACATCTTCAAAACAAAAACTATAACACCCCAGCATCTTTCCACTAAAAAACATGTTCCTACTTCTGGCCAATATTGAAATAGATACAGAAAATGTACAAAAGATGTACAATTACTTGATTGTCAATGCAAATTTATTCATCGCATCATCTACACAAAGAAAAAACCGTTAAGAATGAAAATTCTTGATTATGATCTATGCTCATTTTGTGAAACTAATACTGATTCCTTACTTCATGCACATTGGAATTGAAAGCATGTTAAAGACTTTTGTGCTAAAGTGGAATGTTTTCAAAATGCAAAATTTGCAAAACAATTTACATTTACAAAATGCTCTGTTTTACTTGGGTACAACTCAATAACATACTGGCATGCAAAAAATATAAACATATTTCAAGTATTAAGAAAAACAAACTGTCATTTCATCGATACTTTGACAGAAAATGGCAGAAATTGGCTAATGAACTGTCTAATTAATATGTCTCTCTATTTTGGGCATGAACAATTCCCACTAATGTGACCCAAATAGACATGGCAAACGTAGCCTGCTAATTGACCTGTTGACATGATATTGTACACCTGAATCCTGACTAGCCAACTGTAATTTGCTATCTGCTGTATACGTATGTAACCTACACCTAATAAGTATAACCTTACGTATCATGTTACGTTATGTGAAAATATGTAACATCATATACTGAATTGAACAACAAATATTTAAAAAACAACAATAAATTTTGTCATGGTAGAAGGGCGATATAACACAAGCTAACTAATAGTGGACTAGACTCGGGTTAATTGTCAGTCCCAACAAATTTGATGCAAGTTACCACTTTGCAAGTTCAAATATTATTATGTACTAGCATGTTAATTTTGCATTTAAATATTACCCCTTTACCTGATTACACAGTGACAATGAAAATGGCGGGAAATGGGCATCAGATCGTGAAACAATCTCCCTCAAACATTGGAAACCTCGAGATATGCGTTCGGCTCCAACTTCAATTTAGCGTTGTCATTTCAACAGGTACATACATACAAAAAGCTCTACATTGCAAACAAAGTAGGTGAACCATCGTTATGTCGAAGTCGAAATATCCGTAGCTTGGGGTAAGCGTAGTAACGAAATGAGACCACAGCGCCGATCTGGATCGTGCAGGGGTTTGGTCGAATTAAAGTAATTTTAATAAGGCACACTTTGCAAAAAATGTCCCGCTTGAGTTATGGCTTTATGTGTCCCCTTAAAAGTAATAGTCACGTTAGAAATTGCGGTAGGCAGTAAAAAGTAAAACGAGCAGAGGAATCAAGACCGAAATTCGGATTGCGTATACACATTCAGAAATCAGTATGCAAATGTTAATATGAACATTAGACTTAAAAACAATGATTACGTTCTTAATGCATCAATTCTTCTCTACAATGTCAAGAGAATAACTCACCTACACCATGTGCGTGGGTGCCTCTGTCATGAGATTTGTCAGTTGAGCAAAATTCATGAATGCAGCTGAAGTGTGTATGCATGTTATATATCTATGTAAATATATACATGTACATTTTGTCACGTGACATACCTTATACACGCAATGTACATATGTCAGAAGCCACGTGTTCTAGAGACACACCCACTTTGATAACATTCCAAGAAGTAAGCGCGCGAGAAGAAAACGGATTGGATAACGTAAGACAAACTTCAAACTAACTTCCTTGTGCTGTATCTGAAAAAAGTCAGCAATATTACCATCTCGAAGGGTCGAGGGTGAACCTGTTGACACGTATCTTTTAAATTGTCAAATGAAACTAAATGCTTCATTTAATTCCCATTTTAATACAGATCATTGTAAATATTTGCACGTGCAAAGTCCACAAGATTCATAGATGGACAAGAGAGAGTTTTACTGAGGCCTTGAATGTTGTAACCCTTGATAAAACATCTTTTGAGCAAGAATTGTATGGTACTCTTTGAATCTTAGAATGAGCATTTTCGATTCCACCTCAAACGTTGTGGAATGTAGCTCCTAAAGCTGCTGAAATATTGCTCGACATTAAGGGAAAGCTGATTACTGGAAAGTCCCTCATCCCTCGTGTCATACAATATTTTGGAGAGTATTTTGTCATTCTGAATGTTTATGCATAGATCATTAACTGGCATTGCAGATGTTGGTATATAAAATACTAAACCGGATAACAACTTCTGGTTTATTGCATATAGCGACGATCCGATACAGATTCTGACACTATGGTCAAGCTCGAGTGACCACAACAAAGTGAAGAGAGGTATACACATGATATGTTGTGATAAGCATCAGATAAACATTAACAAGATGCAATAGATAACAAGTAGCAGACAACAAATTCGACGAAGCCAGGCAAACACATTTACAAATGGCACAGAGATTATGAAGACAGATAAAGAATAAAACGTTGTAACATGGTGATGGGATTCAGCAGAGATTATTTTGCTTGGTGACATCGTCATAAGCAGATGGGTGTCTTGTGTTGATCACAGATTTGTTACTACGGATATCTATGGCTTCTGAGAGTTTCTTTTTATGAAGTCCTGATATTTGGTAGAGAAGATTTGGACTTTGTCAAGCTGCATTTGATGGCTAGGAAACCTTCGCTGGTGGTCTGAGAAAGCTGATATATTGTCTGCTTTGGCTGTAAAAGTTTTATGTTCTTTGATACGGGTTTCAATGATTAATATTTTCGGAAGTAGTGTTTTCTATACAGTTTAATAAATAAATGCTTCAAGCTTATATCGTATCTTTACAAAACGTATTCTCATGCGAGGTATTTTATTGTGTTGCAGATACATTGCATCAATTCCTATCTCTTTGTTTGGGAAGATATCTTATTGTGAACCATTTTTTCTATTTTTATTCGCTCAATCCACATTGGCTGGAATGAATTTCTCAATTAGAGGATATTTTTTATCCTACCATCGGCAATGGTGCATATAGGTGTTTCAAGTTTACCTTTTCAGTGAATAATTGCTTTATAGTTATCACCAATCCTACAGTCCAACCTATGGTATTAATAATTCTTAATAATATTAATAGACTGTCCCAGTCCAATGTCCAACACTTACATAGCTTCAGTCTACTACCTTCGTTTGATCCAACGCTGATGAAGTATATTGTGAATGATGCAAGTAGATTGTAACTAGACACTACAAACGTTTGTAAATATTGTTTTGCATGTTTCAGTAACGCTTATACCGACTATTTTCAGTGTTAGCTTAAGACAAGGTTGTTTACCTAGTTCACCACTATTCTCTCAATATTATTCAAATCAACTGAAATGACCGCTTCTTCAATATTAATTAACAGCAGGAGACTTGGAATTAGACGAGTTTCAATGTAATCAAGTCATATATCAGTCTAGTGATTTTCTCCTGTAAATTATTCAGGCAAGAAGACTTGGCTTTACGCAGCACTTATTATCATTGGTAATACAAATTTAACTCCTTGGGCTATCGCAGCTGGTGCAAATTTCACAGAGACGTGTAACAAAGCAATTGGCCTCCAGTTTTTAAGATGTGTTTGTTTGGTTGGTTGTCGTTAACGCCGCACTCGCAGCTAAAAAAATACATATCCATAGTCATCCATACGATGTCTCTGCTAAAAGCAAGTCCGACATTGTACAAGTCATGCCAACGAGCTTTTAAGACTCCGCTATAAACTCGAGTCCTGGATTTTTGCTTTCAGGAGTCTTAATGGAAACAAGAATTATTCATATTTAAGCTCAACTTTATTTTCATTGATGTTTCCGCATCAAGATTTATGTTTTCGGTATATTAAAATAGCCCACTCCGATTATAGTTAGCTGCATCTTGACTGGCATATACGTTTTTGGAAGAAACTTGTTTCTGTAAGTGTATCAGGTAGATTGTGTCCCTATTTCGTACATCCAGTTCCGTTACTGATTTATTAATACAATTTCTAGATGTTAATGTTATGAAATATTTCGTTTTTTCTTCACCCTTTTCAGGCTATTTTGCTTGAGATCTTAATAACATCGTTACCTTTTACTGCACTGAATGCTTGACATTAAAACTCACCCATATAATTTTCAACACTAAAGCGCCTTTTACACCAAATGGAATCTGTTTCGGCAGATGATCGAAAATGGTCTATTTCTGGCGTTGACGTTGTATATTCAAAATCGTTATTTATGACAATATTTTCCTTTCCTCCTTTCCTGTAAGGTCTTCAAGATGCCCCAACATTGGCAATAATCTTGAATTTAGACATTTTTTTTCTCTATATTTATTAACACTTGAGCACAATAATATTGTCCCCCTTATCATCAGTTAAAAGGTTTCCCAGAACAACTGAGTGCTAAAAGTATATTAGTTTTTACACTCCTTGCAAGTATTTTGCTAAATAAATGTGCGTATTGTTTAAAATGTAACACAATACTCTTTATATAATCTGACGACATACATGTATGATGATAAAACATGTCAATAGGTGGCAATGTATGTTTCTTTCTGAGTCTATAAAACATAAGAAATTGTGAGAAAATGTAAAATGTATTTACAATGATTCTTTAGTCTAGGCATTTTGAACATGTTGCGTCTATCATGTTATGACTTATTTATTTTCTTGTGATAGAGAAACATATCTTAAAATGACACTCATGGTGTTTTGGGGGTAAATGTTTATAGATGTTCATGAGTAACATTCTTCATAAATTAAGATTTGTTTAACAGTAAAAATTATTAACGCTTCGAGAGAAATTTTACTTGATCATCAATAAGTTTGTGGATAAATATATATACGAATATATATATATATACAAACCTATTATGATAACTTAGTTCTTCTGGAGTAACTCAGTGTTGAAATTTCATTATCTTTTGCAAACAGATTCGTTTGTTACGTATCCAAACTCTAGATTTGATTTATTTCGAACTCAGATGTAATGACATTAAAGAAAAGAGTTATCACCTGATTAACTTACATGTATGCCGACTACGATTACTATAAGAAGACGGACTATTTTAGGGCTCAGTTACAAGGGTAACATTATTGTAATAAATCCCTATTACCGTAATTCACTGGTTTATTGATATTTGTTAATCTCGGAATCAGTATTGCAATACTACATATTTATATTTAGCATTTATATATTCACTCGTCTAAAATATTAGTGTGCCTCTGCCTCTGTGTGTGTATGAGAGAGAGAGAGAGAGAGAGAGAGAGTGTGTGTGTGTGTGTGTGTGTGTGTTTGTGTGTATGTGTGTGTGTTTGTGTGTGTATGTATGTGTGTGTGAGTGTGTGCGCGTGTGTGTTTGTGTGCGTGTGTGTGAACGACCACACAGTAGTTGTTAAACTTGCAGAAAACCGTGCATTATTAATTTCATTTAATTAGAATGTTAATTCTATTAGCGAGTAGTCAAAGGAAAAGCTAGAATCGATACTTGTGATAAAAACTAGAGAAAGAGGACTATGTGAATTCAGAAAAAATCTAAGTGCGATGTTTTAAATGCGTTTTCACCATTGAAGTCGTCTTTCGCCACACCTTCGTTTGTTACGTATCCAAACTCTAGATTTGATTTATTTTGAACTCAGATGCAATGACATTAAAGAAAAGAGTTATCACCTGATTAACTTACATGTATGCCGACTACGATTACTATAAGAAGACGGACTATTTTAGGGCTCAGTTACAAGGGTGACATTATTGTAATAAATCTCCATTACGGTAATTCACTGGTTTATTAATATTTGTTAATCTCGGAATCAGTATTGCAATACTACCTATTTATATTTAGCATTTATATATTCACTCGTCTAAAATATTAGTGTTTCTCTGCCTCTGCGTGTGTATGAGAGAGAGAGAGAGAGTGTGTGTGTGTGTTTGTGTGTGTGTATGTATGTGTGTGTGAGTGTGTGCGCGTGTGTGTTTGTGTGCGTGTTTGTGTACGACCACACAGTAGTTGTTAAACTTGCAGAAAACCGTGCATTATTAATTTCATTTAATTAGAATGTTAATTCTATTAGCGAGTAGTCAAAGGAAAAGCTAGAATCGATACTTGTGATAAAAACTAGAGAAGGAGGACTATGTGAATTCAGAAAAAATCTAAGTGCGATGTTTTAAATGCGTTTTCACCATTTAAGTCGTCTTTCGCCACACCTTCGTTTGTTACGTATCCAAACTCTAGATTTGATTTATTTCGAACTCAGATGCAATGACATTAAAGAAAAGAGTTATCACCTGATTAACTTACATGTATGCCGACTACGATTACTATAAGAAGACGGACTATTTTAGGGCTCAGTTACAAGGGTGACATTATTGTAATAAATTCCTATTACTGTAATTCACTGGTTTATTGATATTTGTTAATCTCGGAATCAGTATTGCAATACTACCTATTTATATTTAGCATTTAAATATTCACTCGTCTTAAATATTAGTGTGTCTCTGCCTCTGTGTGTGTATGAGAGAGAGAGAGTGTGTGTGTTTGTGTGTGTGTGTGTGTGTGTGTGTGTG